TACAACTGTGTTCTTTGCTAATTTTCTATCCGATTTTTCCTAGTGCATAATTGTATCATTTCTTTGGTTAATTGCAGAAAAAACTCGGTGGTTTCTGCCTTGCCTAGACCCTATAATGATTCTTCAACTAGTAGGGAGTTTTACATGATTTTTTTTATTTACCCAGTTCGTTTTTTAGCTTGATTATTGTTAAAGCATGCTTAAGTTGAGTTCAATGTCCTTAATTTTGAATGTTATGACTGAACCAGTTCTTTTTTTTAGCTAAATTGTTGTTAAAAATATGCTTAAATTGAATTCAATGCCCATAATTTGATTATGTTTTTTCTCAGACCTGATTTCTTTTTTTATAAATGTGTAACTCTGTCATGTAGGATTATCCCTAAGGATCGACGAGAAGGGTTTTCGTGATGCTAAGCAAAGGTTTCTTGCTTTTGTCCCCTTTGACTTTAAAGGGCTTTACATACTCTATATATATATATATATAAAGTTTTGAATATTTAATTAGACTGTATCAAATGATTAACTAGTTGTTTCGGTAGTTACACATTTCTTCTAGCTGATACATATTTGTCAAGTAATGATTTTATCACACAGTTATGTCACAGTTGAAGCAAAGGGGGGAAATCCGCCCATTATGCCAGCAGTGATGACTCCAGGAGGACCTTTGGATTTGTCATCTGTGTTATTTAGGAATCGCATAATTTTCATTGGGCAGCCAATAAATTCACAGGTGGCTCAACGTGTTATATCACAACTCGTGACTCTAGCAACTGTTGATGAGAAAACAGATATTCTGGTGTGGCCATTTTGTTAGTTTATTAGTTTATTAGTTTTGTACTTAACTGTTGTCATCAGTTTATAGAGCTTGGAAGTAAATGGTTTAGCCAAATTTTATGTGCTTGTGACCTTTTATTGCATTTGCAGTTGTATCTGAATTGTCCTGGTGGAAGCACTTACTCTGTTCTGGCAATTTATGATTGCATGTCTTGGGTAATTTTTTTTCACTAATATTTTCTTTTTTCATCCAAGCATAACTTTTAGCACATTGGCAACCTCATCATGGGATTCTGATCTTACAACCTTCTAAATGGTAGTAATAACAGAAATGAACTTTAAAGACCAAATGAAAATTTGTTTTTGGCCCTTGCTGTTAGAGAAGTGATTATAAGATCAATGAAGTGAAGGCATACTTATAAAGTTGGTTTAATAAATCATTATTTGAGCGTTGAGGTAAGTGTTATCTAGTCGTAAACAATTAATATGATCTTCTGTCTAAAAAAATGATAACCGCCCCAGAAAAAATATATGCATTACATTTTGTTACATCCATCTATCTTTTCTTTTTTCTCTGATTTCTTCTTCTATATGATGCAATCTTTGATGACTCTTAATGCTCTCAGATAAAGCCTAAAGTTGGCACTGTATGTTTTGGAGTGGCTGCAAGCCAAGGAGCGCTTCTTCTTGCTGGAGGAGAGAAGGGAATGCGGTATGCAATGCCTAATGCACGTATTATGATTCATCAACCGCAGGGTGGTTGTGGGGTGAGAATCAATTTCCAAATTTCTTTAATGCTTTTGAGAGTATGCAAGAGTTCCTTCTTTTGCTGCTAGCTGAAATGGAAAAGGATTTTTGTTTGGACATACATCATATAATTTCACATCAAAAGCTAGCTAGTACTGTTTAATCATATGTGATCTCCAGATTGTTTCTTAAATTAAAAGCTGCATCTTTTTTATTATTACTGAAGTTTCTATTATCGTGTTTAACTTGCTCTTCTGTCATAGCATACTGGTGCATGTGAGTGCAAAATTCAAAATGCAAAAACTGTAATAATACAAGTCCACTACATTGCAACAGTTCCAAAATATTGGGTGTTTGGAATAGTAATGAATATATATGTTGTAATCATTGATGCATTTTGCAATATTTGCTTCTAGGGTCATGTGGAGGATGTGAGACGCCAAGTAAATGAAGCAGTTCAAGCTCGTCATGTGAGTATTCCCACTTAGCTTCATTCATATGCTGATTGACCAGGAAGATGAAACCCAATTAATGGCTGAATACCTGTTAGCTTGGTTGATATCACAATTGGAAACCCAAGAGTTTCCTAGTTCAAGATTTGAGTGTGGCAGGGCCATATTCTCAAAACTGAAGTTCACACTCGAGAAGTTGGCAGACTTGTTTTGCAAGCACCATAGTAGTGGGGCGGGTTTTTTTCTTTTTTGGGCCCAGGGATGGGACTATTTATCTGTTCCTGTGGTACTTATCTATAACAAATGTTCAAGGTAAAAAGATATTCAATGTTTACTGAAGTTCTAGAGCCCTGGGATTATTGGCTCTTGTTGTTTGAGTTCCTGTAAAGCCTTCAGCACTTTGCTAGTTTTTGGAACTTTTAAATGGAAGATTGCTCTAATTAACATAAAATGCAGTCTTATTTCGCTTGTAATTCTGGTGCAGAAAATTGACCAAATGTATGCTGCATTCACTGGTCAACCCCTTGAGAAAGTTCAGCAATACACCGAGAGAGATCGTTTCTTATCCACTTCAGAGGTATGCAGCGCAACTTGTTTTTCTTTTCCTTTTTAGATAGACATCAGTGCTTGGAGAGAACCTGCTCAAACACTTGCATGCGTGTGGATGTTTATACATATATGTCTGCACTCTCGCATTATTGGAGACAAGAAAATGTCCTAATAAAAATCTTATATATGAGATAACATTAAATTTTATTCTCTTTCATGTTTCTGTACCACCTGCATCACTCCTGTAACTTCATTATGCGTTTGATTGGATCGCTTAATTCATGGTGATGGTTGCATTTATAGCATTTACTTGCACACATGTCATCTTTTAGCAGTTTAAGACCCGCTTCCAACTAATTTTTTTGTCTGAGCTTTTCACTCTACTAATTATCTTTATGCATTTTGACAACCACATTAATCACCATGTTGCTTTTTGCTGCCCTTTGTTGCAGGCTATGGAGTTTGGGCTCATCGATGGCATCCTGGAAACAGAATATTAAACTAGGATTTTACTATTCACCGTCTTTGAATGCAGTGGGAAGTTGGATATAATTTTGATGTGATTGAGTTGCCGACCACTTTTCATTAGTTGTGATCCTACGTTACCAAGTGGTATTTTCAATTTCAATGCCAATTATTCCCACTATTTGATTTTACAAACTCGATTTCAGGTTCTGTGCACGATTAAGCATATCAACATTCACTTGGTGATTGTTCCAAGAGGTCTATTTTTTCTAACCGCGCAGTTCTTCAGCCACTTGAAAAGATAAATCCCGGATTTCCCTGCTCACTATGCATGTATTTCAGTGCCCAAACCTAATGACTCGGTTGGCCTCTCGATTATGTTCATGAGATTTTTAAAAAAAATAGCTAGTTTCGTTAATTACTATTATTAAAAGAAACTAAAAATGATAGTGGTTTTACTATGACCATTTTACCATTGCTTTAGACTTATTGTAATGTGGTTTGGAATGGTAAAATTATTATTTTGCACTTTTCAACAATGCACAATTGGCTTCAGTGGTGGTAATGGTATGGTTGTTTTTTTTTTATAACATTGTAAAATGACAACTATATCATTTAGTGCAAAAAAATAATGCAATGGGCGGGTAGGGGGTTCTTTTTCATTTTAAAAGCACCGTAAAATAATTACATTCCCCTTGAATTCAAGTTAAAGAGTGAATTCAAGTTAAAGAGTCAAGGGGTTTTTCTATTTTGGTTCTTTTTCGTATAATTTTTTTTTTATTATTATTAAATAAAATCAAAGAAAATTTATTATTTTAACATATATAAAATGTTATTTAATATTGAAAAGTGGGTTGTGCATGCAAATCACTTAAATATGTGCTATTTTGTATATTATTTGGAAATATAGTTATAGTTATTTTTTAAATAATTTTTTGTGTTGAAATACATGTTAATAATTTTTAAAAAAAATATATTTTTAATATCAGCACATTAAAATAATTTGAGAACACTAAAAACATGAATTTAAAAAAATAAAATAAAAATTAATTTTTTTTAAAAATACTTTTGAAATGCAGAAACAAATAAGTATGTGCGGTAACTCCATTATTAAATGGTATGTGTGGATAAAAGATAACTAGTTTTACACCAATGATCGTTATTTTACTTGATTTTGGTTTTTTTCCCTACATATTTTCAAAGTAGTTTTTTAATTATTTTTTTAGATTTGGATTTTTTATTACTATTTTTTATTTTAAATAATATATAAAGTTGTGATTTCATATTGGTCCCTATTCTTTTAAATGTAATTTTTTTAATCATTTTCTTAATTGAAATGTATTTTTATTTGCATCCTATATCATTCTTTTAATTGAATTATTTTTTTAATTGATTCCCTCAATGTTTTATTATATTTTATGTTAAATTTAATCTTTATTCTTTTAATTATTATTTATTTTATTTTTAATCCTTTTTTTATTAGAACCTTCTTTTTTAATTTTATCCTTTATTTTATTAATCAAAATTTTGTTAATTTAAAATTTAATTTCATGGTCCATTTCAAGTTTGTTTTCTATAATATTATCATAATTTCAACCTCAAAACCCACATCACAAGTTTGAAAAATTAATCTTACTAATTTAAATATTTTTTAAAATTCTTTTAACAATTAATTTTTTTCAATTCCATTCCTTTATAAGATTATTCTAATATTATATACAAGTCAAGAATTTCATAAGTTAACCAAAGTTAACTTATTTAAAAAAAAAAATCAATTTATAAATCCAACAAAATCAATAACCTGACTCTCAAACTCCTCTTACTTTTTGAAAAAATATTGTCATTGTTTAAGCTCCATTTTTTTTAAGTTAAAAAAATGATCCGGCTCCCGGACAGCAGCACCAGCCACCAATCTCGTAATACATGTACAGCCCGTTGGTCGTGACATCTTAATCCTCTGCTTTGGTTTGAATCAGCATGAACAAGAGTAATGTCACAGCTCAACAAAAGAGGGATAGCTAACTGCGGTTGATTTAGGTTGTGGTTGACTTACAAGGAGAAGGAGGAAAAATGGAGACAGAGAGATGCCTCGTTGAACTAATATAATTAGTCAAATTGAACACGGATTACATATGAGAGAGTGTACAAACTAGTCTGCATTGACAGAGGCATTACAACAATCTCTCGAAGTAGCAGGTTCATGTTCCTGTTCAAGAATGAAAACAGACAAATTTAAACCAACTTCTTTGAAATTCGATTACTATTATACTCAGTACACGTTCCACAATTCCCAAATCATTTGCAGGAAATCATCAAGACTGGTTTTGGTGGAAATTCCTAATATTTGCTGCCCATTTTAGCTAGAATATCATTAATTCACCTTCTTGTTTTCTTTAGTGGATCACTAGGCCACACATTTTTTCCAGAATAAATTGCAACACTGGAAAGAGGATCTTACCGTAGTTTTGCCGCACTGTGGTGAACTTGTAAATGGCCTTCACCAGGGAACCGTATCTCACGGACTTCAAGGGTCCCATATGTCTGCAACACAATAGGCCACAACTTAATCCATGAAAAGCAAACCTCAGCAGGACACGGATTATGTGGTGCAAGTAATTGATAAAAATCTGAATACAGGTTGAGAAAAGAAGGTCCACTGCTGCTTCCATATTCCCCACAGTGATACAAAGATGAACAAAAATACAAAATGAATGATCCAACCTACAATTTTCAAATTAAACTATCTTAATTGCCTCATCGAGACAGAAAACTTACACTATCTCGGTATATCGAATTCTCCAAGCTGGGAAACCTAGATGGCATCTTGCAGGTCCATAAACTAATAGCAGATCAGGTTCTGGCCCTCCACAACCTCATAATTCAAGAACATTACCAGTCAATATGCATAAGATTGATGTCTGAAAGGAAATCAATTCCTTCAACCATTCAGCAGATTGAGAAATAGAACAAACCTACAGCTCTCAGTGCCTCAGTCATGTTAGCTTCTGTGAATATCTGTTCTTTCTGTTCTGCACCAGAATTAGCCAGCTTCAAGTACTTCATGAAAAGTACATTGCCACCCTTGGCCACTGCTTCCTTTCCATCTGAGATTGAAGCAAATTCCAGAGTCATGTGTTTCTGGTCCAGTAACGAATCTCTTTCATCAGCTTCCTGCAAAAAGTGGACAGAAAACTTGAGTAAGAAATCTAACTTTGCCACTGACATTCCACAGTAATTTGCAAATAATTCAAATGAAGCAATAATAGCAATTAAGACATGAGATATAACTATACGAAGTTTTCAACCAGAATTCATTGTACAAAATTTATCCAGGCCATCCTTATTCAAGCAATCCTATTGCGATTCATATGAATCTTTCACTGAATCAAATGTCAGTTTAACGAGTTTTCAAAGAATGCTCACTGGCGGCCAGATCATAATTGAGTACCAGTCAAACAGGCGCTAACTGCAATCTGAATGGCAGCAAAGTGAAAAACAAAGGTGCCATCACCATACAGAAAGAAGATGCTACCTCAAATAATGTTGCATTTTTCAACTTCGCTAAGATGGATTCCTTCGATTTCTTGAGCACTCCTAGAAAAAAAAATGAACATTCAAAATCAAAATATTTTAAAAACCCGAAGAGTTTCGTGTTCCTTACAGGCAATTATACGGGGAAAATACTCAATTACTCAGTTTCACGAGGCATCGAGCATCCTTACCTTCTGTATCATAGAGGCATAAATGTTTGACACCAATAACTTGTAGCCATTGCAAAAGCTGAATGACTTTCGAAATTCGGCAAGCATCATCGCTCTCTATCACAATCGCAAGATACCGGAGCTTGCCAGCATCAATAGATCTGTAACGCTTCAGCAGTCCACTAGAGATCAAATAGCTCTCGATCACATTAGCTACACCAACTCCAAGATACCAAAGTCTCACAAGAAGATGTACAGAATGCCAAACTAGCCGAAGCCAGAAATTTCCAATCTGCACAAAACCTTAAAATCCAGAGTGACTCTCATGAATCACAAACAGCCATATATTTCAGAGGCAAAAACAATTAAGAAAAGGTTCCCAGGAATTCAGTGGTAGCTAATGAAACTTGCCTGATTAGTCCCAGATTTAACTCTCTGCACTTCATCTTTGAAGTCCATTATCTACTAAACCAAAAAAGAATATCACAACCCATTAATTTTAAATGTACCAATACACATGCATGTAAATAAAAAGATATGTAGAAAGCAAAACCCAGATAAAGAATTTACCTACAAGACTGAAGCTTGAAAGCAAAACAGCCTTTTGTGATTTGAAAGGCGAACCAAAAAGGGTAATTTCGTAGAAAAAGTTGCTTAGTGAGAGTCAGTTCCCTGTTCTGCCCGGAATGGGAGACGACAGGTAGTTAACCTTTATGTTCAAGACAATGTGTCGTTATGGGGATATTTTTATATTGTTTTGCAAGAGTTTATGGATCAAACGGACGCTAACGAACGGACTTCTAGGGTCCCGTCTCCTTGACGAGGAAGGCTAAAAAATATTTGATTTTAATTTTTGAAAAATCAGAATTGCGTGCAAGTGCAAGCCCAATCATGGTATTTAAAAAAAAGATTTATTTTAATTTCAAATGATTGATACAGTGGACTATTAATTTTTTATTTTATGATTTCAAATCTTGATTCCAATATTTATGAAATTTATTTAAATACATAGTTAATGTGTATAAGTAATTGTCTGAGAAGAGGATTTAAGAATTTTATTTTGAATTTGACATGAAAGTTATCTTGAAAATGCTATTTATTATCAAATAAAAAAACTATTATTATTAAATTTGATTGCAATAGTCTTGTCATTAAGAACTTTCTTCACTCATTTAATTTCTCAAGTCTGGATTTTAATGTTATTATTTAAGATAAAATATTATTTTTAAATGCAGGAGTGGCCTTATTGTTGAATTGAGAGAATAGTAGTGGAAAATATATTCCTGATAATCAAAAAATCAAAAATTCTTGATTGTAGATTTTTCAAGAACTCACGCACAAATGAAAGCATTATAGGTTTATTTGTTTGTATGGTTGGAATTGTATTTAAAAAAAATTAATTATTTTTTGTGTTTTGATCATTTTGATACGTGAATATTAAAAATAAATTTTAAAAAATAAATAATATTATCTTAATATATTTTAAAATAAAAATTATTTTAGAAAATAATTGGTATTTTAATATCAAAAAATATTATAAATAATATCAAAAATTATTTTGAAAGCAAAATTAGATAATCCAATTAATGCATTGATGTTGAGAGAGGAAAAAAAATGTAGCCCACTGATTAATCAAAATAGTCATATTAACAGCAAAAAATAATTTATTCAAGGTGAGAAAATTTATTGTTTACTAAAACAATAAAATCACCATTTAACTTTTTTTTTTATTATTATTAACATGGATGTCGAGGTTAGCTTGTACATTACTCAGTTAATCTTATAAACTCTGAAGTTAACAATTATATAAGTATTCAGTGATCCTAAAAAAACTTAAACTCATGATCATTAAAAACATACCTAAAACATGACTAGTTAAACTATTTCTTAGCATTCACCATTTAACCTTTCTTAAAATATTCTTTGGATGATATAGCTTCTTTACATAATACATTGGTCATTATTAAATTCATCAAGGATAAGTTGATTTTTTTATATTTTAAAATTATAATCCACTAAGTTACCTTTGATAACATAGTTTTGATCAACTAATGTTTAAAATCTTTAAAGTATTTCCATTCTATTTTATTAATTATAATCAAGTTGGCTAAAAAATAATTTTGTATTTTTATAAATATTAAATATAATTAAAAAACCAAACTTCATGGCTCCTGCAAAGCACACACCAAAAAGTAGAAGATGTCGCGATGCATTAACTATGCAAGCGGTGTCTTATGGAAACCGAAAACGTTTGTTTGTCATGTCACTAGAATTGTCACAATGCCAGCGAGTGGCATTAGTGGCGGGATGATTTATTGTCAATAATTTTTTTTTATCTCCCCTTTTCCATCTCCTTCCCTCGAAATTCATGTTGGCTATTCAAAATTCCAAGGTTGTTGTCTTATTTATTGATTCCAACTTCATTCTGTATTCTTTTAATTTTTAATTATTGTTCTTGGTATTTTTATAAAATTTTGATTTATTTTCAATTTTATCTTTTAATCTCAATTCATGATATGTTGTTTTTGTTTTCTAATTTGATCCTTATTTTTAGATTTTTTTGTTAAATTAATTTTTCTTTTCAACTTCACTATTCATTAAAAAATTATTAGTTATCTTCTAATTTATTTTTTATTTTAATTTTGATCCTCATTTTTTTAATTGCTATTTTTTGTTTTGAATCCTTTTGTATAATTAATCTTTTTATCCAATTTTATTCTTCAATATTTGATTGGTTGGGAATTAGACTTTGTAATTTTTTTAAATATGTTGCTTTTAGTTTAATGACTTGACTCAAAGGATTTGAAAAGTTAATGTTGGTTAACATCATTTATTTTAACTTATTTTCTTTTTCAATCTCATCATTTGAGAATTTATTTTTTTTAAAAAAACTATTTATGTTCTTTGTTTTTTTCCCTACCAAGTGATCTCAATCTCATGACATGAGTTTCGAGTTTAGCAAGTTAATTAGAGTTAGTTTAATCCTTTTTATTGAGTTGCTTTTTTAAAAAGAGATTTTAATCTTTTTTAAGTCTCATCCTTCAAAATTTGATTTCTTTAGAATTAATCTTTATCATTTTTCCCTTTTAGATTTTATTGAATTATCTCATTAGCATGATCCAAATCATAAGATCTCTTCGTCTTACCTTATTTTGATTGTTTTTCTAGATCCTTTTTACTTGTTGATTTTTTTTTGGTTATATCATTTTACAACTAATTTTTCATGAATTAGACTTTGTGATTATTTTTTCATTTACTTTTTATCAAATTATCCTATTTTTATAGCTCAAATTATAAATTTATCATTTTAACTCAGTTAGACTCAAATTATTGATTTTACTTTCTTTTTTAAAACACAACCATATTATTTTTTATTCGAAAATATAATAACTCATTCTCATGGCATAGTATAGAGATATGGATACGGTCACCCACTAATTAATACAAGCATGGACTAAAGAGTCTACTCATAAGAAAAAGAAAAGTAAGAAAGGGTAAAGGCTATTGACATCATCAAGTCACTTGCAAGAACCTCTAAACACACCATGAGAAAAATTTGTAACTCATAGTTAAAACCAACTCATTGACTCCCGCTATGCCGCGAGTCGTAATCAAATATTTTTTAATATAAAAATAAATATTTAGGAATTAGTAATGTGTCTTCTAGAAAATAGATTTTAATCATGAATGCAATGATATCTCAATCTAATACTAAGATAGAAAAATATTTAATCCATTTAGGTTAACTTGGATTGACATGTAAAATTTATAAGAATAATCTTGAAATAAATTTAGAAACTTAATCTTAAATTAACTTAATGTTAAAGAACTAAATCGGTGAAAAACAACATTTAATTAAAAAAATGTAGTGAACTCAAGTCAATTAAACAAACTTACGATAAAAGTTATACACGCCATCAAATTCAATAAATTTTTATCCTAGAGATTATTTTAAATTTAATTATATAGCAATAAATTGCATTATAGTTCTTTTTTGTATGAAATGACTTTGTATAAAGCAAAAAAAAAAAAATCCATAAAAAGCATGTAAACCCGAGATAGCAAAAATAGATCTTTGACAACAAAAAGTAAAATTACATTCTTTTAGGTTTGAGTTTAATAAAAAAAAATAGATTAGTGATAATAGGATGACAATTTAATCTAAACTTGAAGTATATCGACCCAACCCAAATGAATTGATATTTTTTGGACTTGATAGATAATAGATAGATTATGAATATTGTCAAATCCGACCCAAAACCTACTTGAACCTAACCCAAAACATATATTTATATTATATAAATATATTTGTAAAATATTTATAATATATACATATCTTAATATTAACATAAAACACACATATATAAATAATATTTATCATTTTATTATTTAATATAAATATATATACTTCAAATATATATATATATATATATATATATATATATATATTAGTAACTATCTTATTTTTTTATTGATTAATAAATATTACTATATAATGGATACATGAAATTTAATGGATGGTTTATAGATATCTAGATTTCTTATTTGAAACATAATAAATAGTGTATAAATATCAAAAAAATCTTACCAGTGGGTAAAATTGTATTCTTTTATAGACATAAAAAGCTTTAAACCACAAAAAAAGAACAATAAATAATATATCACATACCATGGATTAATTCATTAAACCTACTATTCAAATAATAAACTTAATTGGATTCAATTATTTGTTTTATCAATTTTTTTAAAACTAATAGAAAAAAAAACCTAGCTATATGGACCTGAAAATTAAAAAAAAAATCAGCCTAAGCACGTATGGACTTATTTTATTAATTTATTAAAAGTGTGAAGGACCTATTGTTCACCCATTTCTTTTTTCTTGAAAAAAATAGCAAACGAAATATCATTTATTATGACTCTTGTTGTCAAAAAATAAGGGTTCCTTTTTTATTTAATTTAAAGTCTATGTTCAACTTATTTTTAACATAGAACATCCTTAACACTTTGATAAATCTATCCATAATCAAAAAAAAAAAAACCTCAAAATAGCTCAAAAAACCAAAATCGACCCAAAACCAAAATAGTTATCGCAGTCAAATCCACCTCCTCAGGTCAAAAGCAAGAAAAAAAACACCTAAATCTAACTCCCCTGTAAACTATTTTCTTGGCCACAAACATCATCAATGATGAATTTTTCTCTCAACACCTAGATGAATCCAATAAATCTCTCGTCTATCACAAAAAAGAACTAAAAAATAAGGAAAATCAAGTATTGTACTAAAATTAAATTTAAAGAACTAAAGAGACCAATTATCTAATAGATTAAAAAAGGGGGCTAAACAAAACTTTTCAAATAAAATTCAAAAACACCATTTATTTTACCTAGTATTTAAATTTTAGTCCTTTATCTTTTAATGCAATTATTTCTTTGAAAAACAAATGCAATGGGATGCTAATTTAAGCTTAAAAAAACCTCTATTGTGCAATAATAATAATAATAATAATAATATATGTTTAAAAATCAAATTGATTCTTTTTTACAATTAACTATTCTAATCTATTGTGATTTATTACGACATCTGAGAGGATAAATAGGGTGAAGCGGCCACACTCTGGTTAGAATGTTAATTAATGAACTGACGCTCCGCATACGTTGAGACGTTTAAAAAGAATTTGGGAAAGAACAAAGGTGCCGCTGACATGTACATGTTATGATTGAACAAGGTGACA